GGATTTAGGGGTTTAGGGGTTCGGGTTTAGGGCTTAGGGGTTGTTTAGGGTTTAGAGTACAAGCCCAAAGTAAGCCCTGAAGCCCTACAGTCTGAACCGTTTGAAGCCTGCTGTCCTGAGTGCATTGTGTAGAAGCTTGAAGATTTTTCAAAGGGGGGAGGGAGGGCAGACCCGTGGTCCAAGCGAAGCTTGAGAGCTTAGGGTGTAGCAGGTTAAAGTCGAGAAGAGTTCAGTGGTTCGGGCCTTTAGGGTTCAGGGTTCAGTAAATACCTAATTTAGTAGGGTTTACAACTCAGGGTATGGTGTCTGCCCAACCTCGAGCGAAGCCGCAAACCCCACATCTTACAATAGGGGCTGGAAAACAGGGGTCTGAACCCTAAACCCTAAACCCTAAACCCTGAAGTAGGGTTTAGGGTTTTTGGAGGGTCTAGAGTCTAGGGCTTACCCCACGAGCCTGAATAAAATACACTGGTACTAGTAGGCGATGGAAGCCCCCACTACACCCGAAACCCCAAACCCTAAAACCCGAGGCGTTACGAAGCCCTAAATGGTTTAGGCTTTTAGCCCGGCTGCCCTACACCGGAGTCCCCGGAATTGCGAGACCGCGAGGTTTAGGGCTTAGGGCTTAGAGCCCCAAACCGGCGAGCCCCAAACCCTTAATCCTCGGACCTGATCGCCTAACCTTGCATCCCTACCCTGAACCCGCAAAATCCAAAACCAGTAAATCCTACCTCCTGAAACAAAAACAAGAAGCATCCCAACATCACCAGACCCATCTAGAGCCTTAGGCGGTAGGTCCCCCTCGAGCCTTCGCTTCGCCCCGAACCCTAAAGCCTACCTTAAACTGCAACAGCCTACATTTGTGAGGTTCCCAAAAAAAAACCATATTGGGGCCGGGCTTGGTAGCCCTAAACCGGGCTTGGTAGGGTAAGGGAAGCCCTAAACGGCCTGAGGCTCGCAATCAGGGTGCTCTCTCAGGACGTAATATAGGTTTAGGGTTTAGGGTTTAGGGTTTAGGGTTTAGGGGCCTCAATAAGTACCAATAGTATCTTTGGGGTTCCTCATTGCAATCATACGGCATCGCTGTCCGATGGTTCCAGTGTCGGTAGCACTGCACAGGCCGAGGCCATAATGCAGACCGCTGCAGACGAGGATCGGGCACGCCAGGAAGAGGAAGCTGCTCAGCAGCATCTTCGCGAACAGCGCCGCCTCAAGAGGCACAGGGACGAGGCCGCAGTCGAGGAGCAGGCCAGGAAGCGGTAGCAAGAAGCTCGAGAGGCGGAACTGCGCCGGGAGATCACCGATCAGGTGGAGAGAGATGCCCAGCAACGAATCGCCGAAGGCATCGAATCCGGTATCTGGGCCCGACTATCCGAGGCAGACCGTCAGGGCGCACAGCTGCCAATGGTTCTGGATATCCTGCTCGCCCTCCGTCGACTGCTGACGCAACTGGTGGAGGACAGGTCCGAGACCCGGGATCTCGCGCACAACCAAGTGCGACAACACATGAACATGCTTGCGGACATCCAACAATCCCACTCGAAAATGATAGGGCAATTGACGGAATTGACCCAGTTCCTGCACCTGCCGGGTCCTCAACGCTTGATGACATAAATCCCATAATAAGGAACATACCATAGTTCCCATAGTTTAGGGTCCTTAAGGTAATGCAGGAGTTATATCATCAACAGTAGTATAAGATACCCCAGAACCCTATTCTAGCTACTAAAGCCCCTATCCCTAAACCCTAAACCGTAAACCCTATTCTAACTATTAAGGCCCTTAAGAGGGGATCTACCGTCTCCAGGTTGTGGAGAAGTCGGTGTTTGTTGGAGTTTCGGGTCTTGGGGTTTAGGGGTTTAGGGTTGAGGGTTTGGGGTTTAGGGTTTGGGGTTTTGGGTTTCGGGTTTAGGGGTTTGGGGGGAGGGGTTGATCTCAGCATCATGCGGATTTACAGTTGCAGGTGGTGGGGTTTTCGTTAGTGTAGGGGCCTAAATCATTGCCTACACTATTTTGGGGGGTCGCTTATTATAATTATAGTGTAGCGGGCCCCAAACCCTATTCTAATCATTCAGGCCCCTACATTAGGGGTTCAGCGTTTGCAGGGGGGGGGGGGGTCGGCCTTCTGAATTTCGGCGTGGGCTACGGAGGCAGCGATCGGCATCGATGACAAGAAGCGACTGGTGAGGCTGGGGCTTTGGGTTTCGGGTTTAGAACTAGGGTTTAGGGTTTCGGGTCTAAGAGCCTGTCGGTTTAGGGTTTAGGTTTTAGGGTTTAGGTCCAGGCCAGGGCTAGCGGCTAGCGGCTAGGGCTGACGGTCTAGAGTCTAGGATTGTTCAGGGTTTTGGGGTTTAGGGTTTAGGGTTGCCATGTCGGCACTTCAGGTTTGGCAGAGTCGCAGAGATTCCAAAACTCTACAGGTAAGGAATAACGTTACAACACCCCGACCAGTAATTTGGCTGCATCTTTAAAGTCCAAACCCAGTGATCAAGGAACATACCTCAAGCCAGAATACCCAACCCTAAGCCTAAACCCTAAACCCTAAACCCAAAACCTGAAGCCCTAATTGCCAAAACCTTAAACCCTACACCCCAAACTTTGCGCCCTAAACTTCCGAGGTCCTTCAACAAAGGTTCCCTGACCCCTACTGAGCCGCCTGTTAACTTAAGCTCTAATCCTCATTAACGGCAGTATTAAAAACCTTAAACCCTAAACGTAAACCCTAAACCCTAAACCCTAAACCCTAAACCCTAAACGTTAAACCCTAAACCTTAAACCCTAAACCTTAAACCTTAAAGCCTAAACCTTAAACCCTAAACCCTGAACCTTAAACCCTAACCCTGAACCGTACGAATGCTGCCCTGCCCAGGCAGCTGAAGCCCTTCCAGCTGCTCTTCGGCACCGCCGCAGTGGAGTCGGGCCGGATGCCTGAAAGAAGGTTCGGGGTTTGGGGTACCGAGATGTCCTCAGTGCCCTTTCATGGAGCCGTTATGGTTCTGAATAGTGGGTACTTAGGCTAAAAGGGTAGTTTGGGGTGTTACGGTAGGGTTCAAGGCTCACGACTTAGGTTTTCAGGTTGAGTCCTCGCTGTTTTGGCTTGCACCTCGGGCTCAAAGGACCACGGGACTTGGTAAGTCGGCTGCAAGTAAGGGTATGACCAGGATAAAGAAATTCCTGTGCCGGCCTGAATGTTAAGCAAATGTGTTTCTCCGGGGCCCATGATCATAATTATAGTCGATTCCCCTTGACACCTGTTCCAGTTATCTGGTTTCCTACATCATTCATATAACTCCTCTTGCAACCCTTTTCTTCAGTCGCCTCACGATTGTGTCCCTTGGAGGCTTTCGGGCTGCCGGGCTATGGGGCTGAGGGACTAGTATGTTCCAGAGCCTAAGCCCTTAATCCTTAGGCAGCCAGATCTCACTGCATCGCGCTTGTCTGCCTTAAATCCCAAGGTCCGAATCTGAGTCCTTCGACACCCTCCTAAAAACCTAGGGTTTAGGGTTTAGGACCCTAAACCCCACATCTTAAACCCTAAAACCCTTAAGCCTAAACACTATGGGAACCTTGACCTTGCAGCTCAGACGCCCTGAACCCTAAGCCATGATAACAACGAAGACCCATGCGGCGAATCATACAGCTGCGTCTTTTTCAAAGCTCAGTCAGCTTTAGCAGTTTAGGGTCTAAAGTTTAGCGGTTCGGGGTTTAGGGTTCAGTGCTTTAGAGCTTTAGGGTTTAAGGGTTTAGGGTTTGGGTTTATGGGTTTGGAGTTTAGGGCATTCGGTTTGGGGTTTAGTGGTTATGTTTTTTTCGGGGTTGGGTGTCCCATTTATGCGGTGCCTACATTGAAATGTCCTTACACCCAGCGTTGTCACATTGAGGGCTTAAGAGCTCCGGGCACAGGATCTCTCGCAATCATACCTCGGTCCGTGGGTGTAATATATATATATATATACATATATATATATATATATAAGCACCATGGGACTGCCTTTCGTTGTTTCTTGGTTGCTATGTGGCCGTTCACCGGGTGACGTCACCCGTAACCCCAAACCCCAAACCCCAAACCCCAAACTCTAAACCCCAAGCCCCAAACCCCAAACCCTAAACCCGGAACCCCAAACCCTAAACCCCAAACCCCAAACCCCAAACCCTAAACCCTAAACCCCAAACCCCAAACCCCAAACCCCAAACCCAAAGCCCTAAACCCTCCCTGCAAAGCATCGCGACGATCGAGTTGGTGGCGCACGCCCCCCAAGGGTTTAGGGTTTTAGGGTTTTAGGGTTTAGGGTTTAGGGTTTAGGGTTTAGGGTTTAGGGTTTAGGCCCCCCAGCCCTCCCCCGAGGCCCGACCGTCGTTTACTTGGCCTTGTCCAATCCTGGCTACCTGCCGATCCGGCTCGGGGACCTGGTGCACAGGCATACAGTACTACTTACTTGGAGGAGTATGGGACTTAGTAAGTAAGGTCACAACTACCTTAATGGGGGTTGCAACTACTTATAAGTATAGTTACCGTATTTATAACCCTAGTTACTAAGTCCCATGATCCTCTAAGTACTACTTACTCACACTCAGACCCAGTCTCATCCTCATGCTGGTATTAGGATTAGCAAAAACGAAAACCAAAAAAACTAATACAACAACGGATACAACAACGAATGCTGATACTAACACTATAAAACTAACACGAATACCAAGACTAGTACTACTAGTGCCAGGACCCAGACCAAGATCTGGGTCAAGAGCGAGGATTAATACCAATGCCCATATCGAAGACCAATACCAAAGACCAAGACCAATAGTAATACCACTAGTAGTGTTTGTTATTGTGAGTGGCGTTAATACATATAGGTAGACAGGTGCACAGGTGGATAGGTAGATAGATATATCAACAGACAGATAGACAGAAAGACAGATAGAGGGATGGGCAGACGGATGGATGGATGGATGGATGGATGGATGGACGGACTGATGGATGGATGGATGGGTTTTGCCTTAAGGGTTTTCTGGAGGTTTTTCTGGAGATTAGGGATTAGGTCAGGGTTTCCTGTCTGGTAATTGCCAATACAAAGTGCTTAGAACACTTTTCCCCAACTTCAAAAATCTACCCCTAGAGCCCACATTCTATCCTTACCATCCCATTTCATAACCTATTACAACTATAGCTTAAGCCCCAAAATCATAAGATTGCTTTGAGGTGCAAGGGTCTAGGTTTGAGGAGTTCGAGGGCAGCCCGGAGCCCTCGAACCTGCGAACCTCGGGCCTGCTAGGGCTTAGGTAGTTGAAGGCGGTTTGGGATGGTGGGGGCCGGGGGGCAGGGGGTGAGTGTAGGGTTCGCATCGGGGTTTTTAGTTTTTTTTTGTGGTCTAAGGTTGTTTTGGGTTTGAGGTTTAGGGTTTAGGGTTTGTTTGGTTTAGGGTTTCGGGCTTCGGGTTTAAGGCTATACAGCCATTCCTGGGGCCATCTCTACTAAGGCATACGGTTTAGGGTATCTGTTACAAGTAGTATTGTCAGTACCGGTACTATTGCCTGTGATCAGTGTTACTGATTTGCTCAACCCTACCCGCCACCGTGAGTCCAAGCCACGCATGCAGTAATATAGGGGCGTAAATAATTACCTATACTACTTTGAGGGTTCCTTATGTTAATATTGCTATAGTAGACCCCAAAACCCTATTCTAATTGTTAAGGCCCCCTACATTAGTCTCTGCAGCCGAGGTTTTCCTTCCAGACGCCAGAGAACCTGAATCTGGAGAACGTCCCGTACTGGTGAGCCCTCGGTTTGGGGTTTGGGGTCTTAAGGTTTGTCCGGCCAGTCATTGCTTTTGTTTTTTCTGTTTTTTTTTCCGAGGCCTATAAACCCTAAACCTTTCCCTTACCCTCAAAGGCCTCATATTTTAAGGCTTTTGGGCCCAAAGACCCTATTATATAAGGCTTTTGGGCTATTTTGATGCTAAGGGTTTTTGTGTGCAGGAAGTTGAGATCCTAAGAGACTCGAAGCATCTTGAAGCCTGGAGCCCGGAACCCTGATCTCCGAACCCTAAGTGCTAGGGTTTAGGGTTCAGCTAGGGTTTGGGTTTCAGGTTTTAGGGTCTAGGGTTTAGATTTTAGGTTTTACTGTTTTTTTGTTTTTACGGTTCGGGGCTTACGGTTTGGGATCTCCCAAACCCTAAGCCCTAAACCTCCGAAGACGATATAATAAACGCAGGTGCGACGAGAAGGCCCTGGTGGATGAGCGCGAGGCGCACTTCAGCTGGGCCGGGTAGCCCGGTCACTTTGGGCTAAGCCTCGGCCTATCAAGCTTTATTAGTCCCTAGCTTAAGAAGCCAAAACCCACTTTTTTTGTAGGTTAACATGGGATTTATAGGGACCCTACAAAAAAGTAGGTTTTGGGTTCTTAAGGTAAGCCCTAAACCCTTAACCCCTAAACCAGAAAGCCCAAACCCCCTAAACCCCAAACCCT